ATATGATTTAAATACATAGTGGGGAAGGGAGAAACTTATGTTCCCTTTTCATAAGTCAATTTCTGAGACTCTTTACTATCAGTGAAAGACAAGTAGTATTTTTATGAAAACTGAATCTGTGACTTTAAGTACAACATGCTGAAATACAAAAACAAAATATCCCATTGTTAATAATGGCATAACACTAAGATCACCCATAAGAGATGAGCATTTTTTATACACAGTATTTATTCTTGATCAGTTACATAAAACATAATCTGAGTTTCATTTTTTAACAAAAGCTTTTGAGTCATTTTGAGAAGGTCAACAAAAAACAGTCTTTTAACATTAGGTGATCAACTTTTTGACAATGGCAGGACTAGCATAGCTAATGGAATAATAGCCTGCAGGGTCCAGCTAAATATGATATACGAATGTAATCAACCCCTCTGATGACTATTCAAAAGTAATCCCTTTAGCTTTGAACTGCAACATATATTTCAACAAGGCAAAAACCATATGAAGAAATTCTCTGCAGACCACACTGATACAATACAGCCTTCATATCCTGCCCTCTGCATTTGCTGCTTATAGAGAGTTTTAAATTTAAGGTAATGACTACTGTATATTCATGTGAGCATACAACAATACTGTTGATTTGTTGTGGAGAGGTTGAATCCATTACTAGAGGTCTAGACCATAAACTCTGACACAACCTTTACAAATGAGTTATTATTTACCGTTTTTTAGAGTACGGCCACTAAAAATGTTTTGCATGCCAAAATTATAAAAATTCATTCACCTTTCCCATCGAACTACCAGGTAATGTCGCTTCCATTTCAATTCATACTCCTCCTCCACAGATAACATTTTTAAAATTTTGTTTATTATTCTATTGTTTTCAAATAAAGGGATGAGATGATGGATTTGTAGCAATTCAGCATTTGCTGGCTTATTCCATTGCTTTAGTAGAGTATAAGCTAAGTGGTGGTATAAATAAGATCCTTTTGTTCCTACTTGACAGAATCTGCTATTTGAAAGTCTTTACTATTAGCAACAGAGAAGTGCTAATTTCTTCTGAAATGTAGATAATATAAGCAAATATCACACTTCAACTTTTTATTGGTTCTGGCCTCTCTTGCTGGAATGATATTGGTCCCAGTCTTCCACTTCCTTGCAGTCCTATAGACCAAACATCTCAAATCACACCTTAAGTCAGACCCACACTATATAACCTAGATTAGCATCAAAATGAATACTTTTGCAATGATGAAATCAATGGTCAACAAATCCTGTAGTGCTCACCTTGTTCAGAAGTATCGGAACACCTGAATTATGATTTTAAATGTTCTCTTATGTAAAGTAACCATTGCTGAGGTTCCCTAGCACAGTGTGTGTAGTCGTCTTTTATTTAAAATAGTAGCTGTGGCCCAAATTGAATAGAAGAGTGGAGGCAGATATAGCTATTCTTCTCAGAGAATCTACGTGGGAAATAGTCCACAATATAAGTCGCCTTTCCTCAACATCTGGGGAATGAATGCCAAATAATTATTTGAGACAAGTCAGGCATAATTGCAAATGTGAGAAATCCAAGAAAGACTTCTGTAGCTTACGAGATACTGTTACATCCTGCCAAGCCAAAGGGAAGGCTGAGTTCAAGACATTAGATAGTATAAAATAGACATTAGGATTTTAGGATATTTCTATATATTGTAATGTAATGAAAAATATTAAAATGAAAAGCCCAAGGTAGTTCTTAACCTAAAAGAATAATAGAACATATTAGTTAAGATAAAGGTTAAGCTCCTATTGCAAAGAATCCCAAAAGTACAGTAGATTAAGAATATGAAAGAATATTAAAGCTTGTTTCTCCCTTAATCCTGAAATAAGCAGTCTACATTTATGACATAGCTTCACAGACGTTCAGGAGGTGATGGCTTTTTCATTGCTCTTTCGTCCCCTAGGACAGGGCTTCTCAACCTCGCACTATTCAAATGGGCTGGACAATTTTTTGTTGGGGAGCATGTAAGAAATGACTGTCACGTTGTGTGCATTGTTGGATGTTTAGAAGCATCCCTGACTTCTACTCTTTAGAGCTTAGTAGCACTTCCTCATACCAGTTATAACAATCAAAAAATGTCTCCAGACATTTTCCTGCAGGTGAAACCACCCCTAGTTGAGAACCACAGCCTTAGAGTGTTGTCATTGTCTGTATGATACCCTATCCAAATGATAGGGTAATTGTTCAACATTCAAGATTAAAGAAAAGGGAAAGTTCAAGCAGATCCAGAAGCAGTATATAGTCATGTGACACATAACGACATTTCTGTCAATGATGGATCACATATGTGATGGTGGTCTCATGGGACTGTAATGGAGCTGAAAAATTCCTGTCACCTAGTGATGTTGAAGCCATAGTAACATTGTAGTGTAATGCATTACCTTTTCTATGTTTAGATAAACAAATACTTACCATTGTATTACAGTTGCCTACGGTATTCAATATAATCACATGCTGTACAGGTTTGTAGCCTAGGAGCAATAGGCTGTACCATATAGCCCAGGTGTGTAGTAGACTATACTGTCTAGGTTTGTGTAACTACATTCTATGATGTTCACACAATGAAGAAATTGAATCCCAATGCATTTCTCACAGTGTATACCTGCCAGTAAGCAGTACACGACTGTATATCACTTCATCCACATTTGTTGCTGAGAACTTAGTGACATGACTTCAACTAATAGTTCTTTGCTGATGGGGAAGATTTAGTAGATAGCATAAACACCGATGAATGAGAGGCAGAAGGAATTACTGAAGCCATGTCTTGTGTAGGCAAGAGGGGATGAGATATCTAGTGAAGAAGTAGAGGGGTTGGCCTTAGAGAGTTCACTGATGGTAGCAGGAGGGAAGACAAAGTATAGAGAATACAGAAGCAGGCAGGTGAGTAACTCTTGCTACAGAGCTTGTGGAAGTTTTTCCCTATTGTCTTTTATTTCCTCTATGAAACTAGAAAATACATCATCAACTGAGATCAAAGATGCAAGTGGAGGGTTGAAAGTTTGAGGAAGTAGAAGAAAGAGTTAAATGGTCATCTAGGGGAGTGGAATAATGAGTGGACTGGGAATGTTTAATAAAATGGCCTGAAAGTATTAAGGGTCCACCTACTGTTTGTGGCCATGAAGTTAAAGCAAGGCCTCTCAGGCCGGTTATATATTTTCTCCAGCTATATTGAGCTACATAGTGCAGGAGAGGAACAGGCAGACAGTTGGATTTAACTAGGGTTATAGTTTTGTCAAGTGAGAATGACAAAGTGGGAAAGAACAATTTGGGGCTGTAGGCAAGGGAGTGGGTAACTATGGAATTTAAATTGTGTGATAAAGGGAGACGACATGAAAATGAGGAGGAACAGTAAAAAAATGGTAGGACTGGAGGTCCCAGTACAGTGGAATGATTGCTGGGGTTGAGGTACTAGAGGGAACGATATGGAAAGAGCAAAGGTGGCAGTCAAGTAGTTGATTGCAGGAACGGAGCTTGGGGGTGCTTGCAGTTACTGGTAATGACAAAGTCTAAGTATGACCAGAAAAATTAATGGCTGAAGTAGGGGATAGGGTGAGATCTAAGAGAACAGGAGCTCGAGAAATTACAGCTTAAGAGTGGAATGATCTACATGTATATTGAAATTGCTAAATTGAGAAAGTACCTGTAAAGTGACAAGGAGATAATAATAAAATCAACAGAGAATGATTCCAGCCATAGATAGATCACAAAAGTGACAAATGGTTGATTGTATAATATGATAATATGAGTTTTAGGAAGGGAAAGAGGGAGGGCAAATGTCTGAAAGAACAATAGGGAGGAAGAAGGACACCTACCCATCTCCAGAGCCAGTAGTAAGAAGACAGATAACAAAAGGAAAAATGGGTTTCTGAGCTGGTTGTATCTTCAGAGGAGAGCCAGGTTTCTGTTAGAGCAAAAAAGTAAAAGGAATTTCAGAAAATAGGGTGAGGATATAGGTTATTTTGCAAAACAGTGGATCAAATATTCCAAAGGGCACAGTGGAAATGTTTCAGGAGTTGCAGTGGATGGGAGATGGGAACAGAATAGGAAATGCAGAGAGTCTTATAAAAATAAAATACAGGAAATAAGAAGAGGTACCTGACTGGGGCCTGTCCTAAGCAGGAATAAAGAGCATCTTATTAGATTAGTTCCAGTATATTTAAATCAAGAGTAAAAGGACAGATAAGAAAGTTTAGTAACAAATTAACATGGCTATTTATATATTATATATAAACTTTCTATATTTGACCTTATTGTTTAGATACTCTACATTGTTCTCTAAATTAATTTTCCTTTTGAATATTGTTTTAACAAGTCATCTTATCCCTGAAGTTGGCCTTTCCGTAGCCATTTTATTATATCATAAGAATTCTGTGGGATAGGAATCTGGGCAGGGCTTGGCTGGACAGTAATTGAGGTCACTAAGTAGCACTCAGCTAACAGATGGGCTGGTTTTGAGGGTCAAAGACAGCCTCGCTCACAGACTGGAGGCTTGCCTGGGATGGTTGGAAGACTGGGCTTGGCTGGGACTGTCTTCCAGAGCATCTATACATGGCCTTTCCAGAGTGCCCATCTCAAGGTGTTAGGACTTACGTAGTGACTTGCTTCCTCCAAAGCACATAAGAGAGCTAGGTGGAGGCCACATAGCCTTTTCTGACCTAGTCTCAGAAGTCCTATACTCACTTCTTCCTCATTCCGTTGATTACAAAAGATTCTTAAGGCTAGCCTAATTTCAAGAAGAAGGGAATTAGATTCTGCTTCTTCATGGGGGATTGACAAGGTCATAAAGCAGAGGAATATACGGAGTGGGAGATATCGTTGTGACAATCTTTGGACAACAGAATCTGCCCTGGTGATAAGGATAGATAGATATCCTGGAAAAGGAATTCTCAGGTTCCAGTACAAAAGAATTATAAACTGTGTTCATGAAAAACTATTAAAATTGTATATCTTTTTTCTTTAGGAGAGTTTAAAACAACAGTAGAAGGTGTATCTCAAAATTCAGAATATTTGGAAGAACTAGGCAGGTATGATAAAATCAAGTTAAAAGTTTCTATTAAGTACTCACTTTGTGCAAGAAACTAATTATAATCTCATTCTCCAAACACAAGAAGAGTAGTTTCATCCAGCACTTGAAAAGCTAATACTGAAACACTGATTTTTTTAAAAATCACAGATTTACTTACAAATATCATATAAGGTTAAGTGGTTTTAATCTTTAAGCTGTCTGAAAATTATAAAAAGGAAAATATCTTTCAGAGCAAGTGTTTTTCTACTTTCTAGCCCAATATAAAATTTAATTTTATAATTTATTTTATTTCAGATTTCCAGATCATCAAAAAAAATGAAACTTAAAGCAGCTTTGACTCAACACTGAAGCAAGAAGAAATATATCATGTCACCTTAGACTTCAATATTTGTACTAAATAGGAGCATGTTATAAATAATATAAGTAGAGTTATAATAAAACTATGATTATGTTTTCATTGAATTCTATACTGCACTGTACTACTACAAGTTTAATCCAAATCATCTAAATCTATGAAAATTAAATATACCATAAGTACTTAGAACTATCAGCAGTTATCTACAACACAAATAAGACAGAATAATGGCCAGCAAACATATAAAAAAATGCTCAACATCTCTAATCATTAGAGAAATGCAAATCAAAACCACAATGAGGTATGATTATGTTTTCATTGAATTCTATACTGCAC